AAGTTTTATAATTCCTTCATATCTGCATAACGTTTTTTTCACCCATCCATTTATTTATGAAATTTGTATAAAACAAAATCAATTTTTTGTAAAATTACACAAAAGCCAACAACAAAAAAACTTAACCTATAAACAAAAACAAAACATAAAAAATGTCATGTAATACTCTGTACTTTTTTTGGTCTATTCTTTTTTTTATAAAAAACATATTGTTGACAAATTTACAGGCTTGTATGTAGTAAGTATTGTAATAGTTTGTAATTAAAATAACCATAATATTGTGTTTTTAAAAGCTTTTGTTCTATATAACTTATTATTTGCCTTTATTAACAGCTTTTTATTATTTCAAGCTTTTTTTTTACTGGACAGCTTTTTGATTGCCATGCAGCAGCTTACGAGGCGAGGGGAAAATAATACACATTAATTAATTATATGTTGCACATTATGGAAAATTGTTAAAGCTTTATGTATAATTTAAGCTTTTTATCTTAAGCTTTGTTATATAATATATGTTTGTGTTAATTTAAATTTAGGCAAATGTAAACAAAAGCTGGGATACGATAGAGAAAAGTAAAAGCTTTAAAAAGTTTATGAATAAATTAAGAGTTTGAGACAATTTTTAAGCAGCAAAAGCTTTACTTGTTTAGGAGTATTGAATTATTATTAACTTGTAGTTTAAATTTAAGTGTTAAATAAAAAGCTTTTACGGTCAGTTTTGGAAAAGTTTGAAGATTTCTTTAAAATTATTATAAAACAATAACTTGTACACTTTATAGTCACAAAAAAAAACTTTTAAGCTTTTTTTCTTTTAAAAAAGATTTAAGTTTTTTCTTAAAAAAGTTTTCAAGCTTTTTTTCTTAAAAAAGCTTTCAAGCTTTTTTCTTAAATAAGCTTTCAAGCTTTTTTCTTAAAACAAGTTTTAAAAATTTATAAGCATTATCGATTTTTTCTTTAAAAAATCTTTTGAGGTTTTTCTTAAAAAAAGGCTTTTTCCTTAAAAAAAAAAGCTTTTACGGTTTTTGCTTATAAAATAACATATAAGCTTTTTTCTTTACAAAAGCTTTTTAATCTTCTTTCGTTAAAAAAATTTTAATTTACAAAGTATTTTTCTTTGGGAAAGCTTTTAAAGCTTCGTGCATTTAAAAAGCTTTTAAGTTTTTTTCTTAAAAAAGTTTTTTTTTAACTTTTTCTTAACAAAAGATTTGAAGTATTTAAAAAAAAAGAGCTTTTAAGCTTTTTATTTTCTGTTACTGTTTTGAAAGAAAGCTTTTGAATACATTTTTTTAAGCTTTGTTCTAAAATTCTTATCTTGAAGAAGTTCAGTTTTGGATTTACCAAAATACCTAAAAAGATCGTCAAAGCTTTTTGTGAAAACCAGCTTTAATATTTGAACTTTAAAGTTAAGCTTTTTGATAATTTTTTATTTGCTAAGCTTTATTTATTAAAAAAATAACTAAATATTGCACAAAATATGAAAAATACAAAACAAATTGAAACTTACAAACTGGTTGTCTGTTAAAATAAAAAACCTTAAAAGCCTGTTTCTGTAAAACGAACAAAATTTATGTAAATACCCTTGTATTTATTACCATTTCATTATCATTTACTGGACGTTGGCATATTGAACACATTTCACATGAGAATTTTCAATTCCAATTTCCTCCATCATTTATTTTCAAGGCTTTGTGTTTGAGTGTATGCTCCTTAAGTGACAATTATTTTTCAAATTAACTAACATCAGCGATTGTATCCATTGTCCCTTGAGGGCATATTAAATTATACGCCTTTATTCTCTCGATAATACACGCCTTTTGCGAAATAATTACCAACTTTCAGACACAAAATATTTATAATTAAAAACCCAGCAGGAAATCGGTTATGGGAGAGTTGAAAAAGTTGAATATAAAAAGAAATTTGGAAAGGTCCCATAAACCGGACTGGTAAAGAAATTTTTAATAATTTTTAGAATTGGATTTTAAGTCCAAAAATCTCCTTACTAAAACGTTTCTTCTCTAGTTTTTTTTGTCCTTTTTTATTTAGCTTCACTTTCTCTTCATTTGCATTTTAATCTCTTCGCTTGTGTCCCATAATTTTTCCAACTGGCAATCCGGTTAGCTGTTAACGGTAATGCCAACTGTTTTATTTTTGGCAATTAGTTTTTGTTTCTTCCTTAAGCCAGAAAAACAAATTTCATTGAGTGGGCTGGATCACTTGGAAGTTTATGTAGTTTTTGCGCTATTTTCTATAACTTTCGTTGTGCTGAACAAAGTACAATACTCTAAGCACTCCCACGAACATGAACATGAATTTTAACACAAAAAAAAACAACCAAAAAAAAAATATGAAATTGAACTTAATGTTTCCAAGCTATAAAAGTGTAGTATGAGCTACATATGAGTATTACAACTAAAAACTATATGTGGTAGATGTGGGATTTTTATTAGATTGTAGTATAAAGGAGGTTCACTAAACTCTTTATTCGTTTCTTGATAACAGTTAAGATCCAGTTCAGTTCGAGTTCTGTTCTAGTTCTGTTCTAGTTCTGTTCTAGTTCTATTCTAGTTCTGTTCTAGTTCTGTTGTAGTTCTGTTCTAGTTCTGTTCCAATTCTGTTCTAGTTCTGTTCTAGTTCTGTTCTAGTTCTGTTGTAGTTCTGTTCTAGTTCTGTTCTAGTTTTGTTCTAGTTCTGTTCTAGTTCTGTTCTAGTTCTGTTCTAGTTCTGTTCTAGTTCTGTTCTAGTTCTGTTCTAGTTCTGTTCTAGTTCTGTTCTAGTTCTGGTTCTGTTCTAGTTCTGTTCTGTTCTGTTCTGTTCTGTTCTAGTTTTGTTCTAGTTCTGTTCTAGTTCTGTTCTAGTTTATTCTAGTTCTGTTCTAGTTCTGTTCTAGTTCTGTTCTAGTTCTGTTCTAGTTCTGTTCTAGTACTGTTCTAGTTCTGTTCTAGTTCTGTTCTAGTTCTGTTCTAGTTCTGTTCTAGTTCTGTTCTAGTTCTGTTCTAGTTCTGTTCTAGTTCTGTTCTAGTTCTGTTCTAGTTCTGTTCTAGTTCTGTTCTAGTTCTGTTCTAGTTCTGTTCTAGTTCTGTTCTAGTTCTGTTCTAGTTCTGTTCTAGTTCTGTTCTAGTTCTGTTCTAGTTCTGTTCTAGTTCTGTTCTAGTTCTGTTCTAGTTCTGTTCTAGTTCTGTTCTAGTTCTGTTCTAGTTCTGTTCTAGTTCTATTCTAGTTTATTCTAGTTCTGTTCTAGTTCTGTTCTAGTTCTGTTCTAGTTCTGTTCTAGTTCTGTTCTAGTACTGTTCTAGTTCTAGTTCTGTTCTAGTTCTGTTCTAGTTCTTTTCTAGTTCTGTTCTAGTTCTGTTCTAGTTCTGTTCTAGTTCTGTTCTAGTTCTGTTCTAGTTCTGTTCTAGTTCTGTTCTAGTTCTGTTCTAGTTCTGTTCTAGTTCTGTTCTAGTTCTGTTCTAGTTCTGTTCTAGTTCTGTTCTAGTTCTGTTCTAGTTCTGTTCTAGTTCTGTTCTAGTTTTGTTCTAGTTCTGTTCTAGTTCTGTTCTAGTTCTGTTCTAGTTCTGTTCTAGTTTATTCTAGTTCTGTTCTAGTTCTGTTCTAGTTCTGTTCTAGTTCTGTTCTAGTACTGTTCTAGTTCTGTTCTAGTTCTGTTCTAGTTCTAGTTCTGTTCTAGTTCTGTTCTAGTTCTGTTCTAGTTCTGTTCTAGTTCTGTTCTAGTTTTGTTCTAGTTCTGTTCTAGTTCTGTTCTAGTTCTGTTCTAGTTCTGTTCTAGTTCTGTTCTAGTTCTGTTCTAGTTCTAGTTCTCTTCTAGTTCTGTTCTAGTTCTGTTCTAGTTCTGTTCTAGTTCTGTTCTAGTTCTGTTCTAGTTCTGTTCTAGTTCTGTTCTAGTTCTGTTCTAGTTCTGTTCTAGTTCTGTTCTAGTTCTGTTCTAGTTCTGTTCTAGTTCTGTTCTAGTTCTGTTCAAGTTCTGTTCTAGTTCTGTTCTAGTTCTGTTCTAGTTCTGTTCTAGTTCTGTTCTAGTTCTGTTCTAGTTCTGTTCTAGTTCTGTTCTAGTTCTGTTCTAGTTCTGTTCTAGTTCTGTTCTATTTCTTTTCTAGTTCTGTTCTAGTTCTGTTCTAGTTCTGTTCTAGTTCTGTTCTAGTTCAGTTCTAGTTCTGTTCTAGTTCTGTTCTAGTTCTGTTCTAGTTCTGTTCTAGTTCAGTTCTAGTTCTGTTCTAGTTCTGTTCTAGTTCTGTTCTAGTTATGTTCTAGTTCAGTTCTAAGTACATAAAATTAACCTCCCCTAATACAACATTTGATTCATGCAGCAGATGCTGCAACACAGCCAGCCATCGAGCAAACAGAAAAAAAGGCGTTAATTTACATTTATTAACTTGTTTAAGGGTGATAATAAAAATGTTTATAAAAAAATACTAAAAAACACAAAAACAAACTTTTGTCATCATGTAGTCTGGTCGACAATAAAAGTTTTTTTTTTTGTGTTGTAGTACCAAGGGGCAAAGACAGACAACCTGTTGCTAAAACAAATTTTTGTGCAATATATTAGTTTTTTTGCTTAATTTTTTTTTTTTGTTTTAGCTATTTTTATAATTTAAATATAAATAGCTTTTATTGTTAATTTCAATAATTTATTTAATTAATATTTAAATATTTCAACTTTATTTATCATAAAAAACATTGATTTTAATAATTTTTATATTATAAATTTTTCTACTTTTCTTTCAAACTTCTTTTCTATTTACATGCTTACAATTACAAAAATAAAATAATTTTATAAAAAATGGAACATTTATAATAATTTTTTAATAAATTAAACACTTTACACCAACAACTGCATGTTATAAAAAATATCAACAAATTGCCTACAAAACTGCAAAATAATAATAAAAAATTTCTACTGCAAACTGCTGTCTACCAACGCATGTTCTTAAAAAAAAAACTTTTAAAATTTATTTTAATTTTTGCCTTAAAACACACTTTATTCTAATTTTAAAAAAAACATAATTTAGCTTCTAAGAAAATACCCATAAATGCTTCTTATGTTATTTATACTGATGAAAGCGGTCAGGTCTGTTAAGTTTATGTTATTAAAATTGCTTTTAACATGTTTCTGTTAATTATGAAAATTTCTTTTGCGTTTCTAAATTCCTTTTCTTTAAGTTTCTTGTTTTTTTTAATTTTTTTTTGTTGTTTATATAAATTTCTTTAAATCTTTTTATAAAGAAAAATCTTACGAAACCAGCAAGTTTTTTTGTTTAAATGAAAATATTTTAAAATTATTTAGTTTGTAAGTTTTTAAACAAATTTGTTAAGACTGTTAATAGACCTTAACAACACACACATATAAAAATTTTTGTAAATTTTGTAACACAACAACCAGGAAATTTTATAAAATTCTTAAAAACAATTGTATATTTTAAGTTAATTTATTAAAAATATTTTATAAGTTATGTTTAAAAAATTTTAAATGTTATACAGATGTCTAAAGCAACACTTTTGATATGAGGATAGAACTTTTCATTTTCCTGTAGCTTTAAATCGGTGATTGGCCCAAGGAGAGCCTCACGAATACAAAAATAAATGTATTTGTGTGTTTGCGCACTCGATAAATTTTGAATTTTGCTAAAAAATCTATTCCGAAAAGCTAAACGTTATAGTGAGAGTATTTTATCAGCCATTTTGGTTTCAAATAATATTAAAAAGTTCTGTTCCAGATATTTTCTAGTTCTGACCCAGTTCTGTTTAGTTCTGCTCTAGTTCTGTCCAAGTTCAGTTCTACTGCACCTCTAGATCAGTTCTAGTTCAGTTCTAGATCAGTTCTAGTTCAGTTCTTGTTCAGTTCTAGTTCAGTTCTAGTTCTAGTTCAGTTCTAGTTCAGTTCTAGTTCAGTTCTAGTTCAGTTCTAGTTCAGTTCTAGTTCAGTTCTAGTTCAGTTCTAGTTCAGTTCTAGTTCAGTTCTAGTTCAGTTCTAGTTCAGTTCTAGTTCAGTTCTAGTTCAGTTCTAGTTCAGTTCTAGTTCAGTTCTAGTTCAGTTCTAGTTCAGTTCTAGTTCAGTTCTAGTTCAGTTCTAGTTCAGTTCTAGTTCAGTTCTAGTTCAGTTCTAGTTCAGTTCTAGTTTCAGTTCTAGTTCAGTTCTAGTTCAGTTCTAGTTCAGTTCTAGTTCAGTTCTAGTTCAGTTCTAGTTCAGTTCTAGTTCAGTTCTAGTTCAGTTCTAGTTCAGTTCTAGTTCAGTTCTAGTTCAGTTCTAGTTCAGTTCTAGTTCAGTTCTAGTTCAGTTCTAGTTCAGTTCTAGTTCAGTTCTAGTTCAGTTCTAGTTCAGTTCTAGTTCAGTTCTAGTTCAGTTCTAGTTCAGTTCTAGTTCAGTTCTAGTTCAGTTCTAGTCAGTTCTAGTTCAGTTCTAGTTCAGTTCTAGTTCAGTTTCTAGTTCAGTTCTAGTTCAGTTCTAGTTCAGTTCTAGTTCAGTTCTAGTCAGTTCTAGTTCAGTTCTAGTTCAGTTCTAGTTCAGTTCTAGTTCAGTTCTAGTTCAGTTCTAGTTCAGTTCTAGTTCAGTTATAGTTCAGTTCTAGTTCAGTTCTAGTTCAGTTCTAGTTCAATTCTAGTTCAGTCCTAGTTCAGTTCTAGTTCAGTTCTAGTTCAGTTATAGTTCAGTTCTAGTTCAGTTCTAGTTCAGTTCTAGTTCAGTTCTAGTTCAATTCTAGTTCAATCCTAGTTCAGTTCTAGTTCAATTCTAGTTCAGTTTTAGTTCAGTTCTAGTTCAGTTCTAGTTCAGTTCTAGTTCAGTTCTAGTTCAGTTCTAGTTCAGTTCTAGTTCAGTTCTAGTTCAGTTCTAGTTCAGTTCTAGTTCAGTTCTAGTTCAGTTCTAGTTCAGTTCTAGTTCAGTTCTAGTTCAGTTCTAGTTCTGTTCTAGTTCTGTTCTAGTTCTGTTCTAGTTCAGTTCTAGTTCAGTTCTAGTTCTGTTCTAGTTCTGTTCTAGTTCTGTTCTAGTTCTGTTCTAGTTCTGTTCTAGTTCTGTTCTAGTTCTGTTCTAGTTCTGTTCTAGTTCTAGTTCAGTTCTAGTAGTTCAGTTCTAGTTCAGTTCTAGTTCAGTTCTAGTTCAGTTCTAGTTCAGTTCTAGTTCTGTTCTAGTTCTGTTCTAGTTCTGTTCTAGTTCTGTTCTAGTTCTGTTCTAGTTCTAGTTCTGTTCTAGTTCTGTTCTAGTTCTGTTCTAGTTCTGTTCTAGTTCTGTTCTAGTTCTGTTCTAGTTCTGTTCTAGTTCAGTTCTAGTTCAGTTCTAGTTCAGTTCTAGTTCAGTTCTAGTTCAGTTCTAGTTCAGTTCTAGTTCAGTTCTAGTTCAGTTCTAGTTCAGTTCTAGTTCAGTTCTAGTTCAGTTCTAGTTCAGTTCTAGTTCAGTTCTAGTTCAGTTCTAGTTCAGTTCTAGTTCAGTTCTAGTTCAGTTCTAGTTCAGTTCTAGTTCAGTTCTAGTTCAGTTCTAGTTCAGTTCTAGTTCAGTTCTAGTTCAGTTCTAGTTCAGTTCTAGTTCAGTTCTAGTTCAGTTCTAGTTCAGTTCTAGTTCAGTTCTAGTTCAGTTCTAGTTCAGTTCTAGTTCAGTTCTAGTTCAGTTCTAGTTCAGTTCTAGTTCAGTTCTAGTTCAGTTCTAGTTCAGTTCTAGTTCAGTTCTAGTTCTAGTTCTGTTCTAGTTCTGTTCTAGTTCAGTTCTAGTTCTGTTCTAGTTCTGTTCTAGTTCAGTTCTAGTTCTGTTCTAGTTCTGTTCTAGTTCTGTTCTAGTTCTGTTCTAGTTCTGTTCTAGTTCTGTTCTAGTTCTGTTCTAGTTCTGTTCCAGTTCTGTTCTAGTTCTGTTCTAGTTCTGTTCTAGTTCTGTTCTAGTTCTGTTCTAGTTCAGTTCTAGTTCAGTTCTAGTTCAGTTCTAGTTCAGTTCTAGTTCAGTTCTAGTTCAGTTCTAGTTCAGTTCTAGTTCAGTTCTAGTTCAGTTCTATTTCAGTTCTAGTTCAGTTCTAGTTCTGTTCTAGTTCTGTTCTATTTCTGTTCTAGTTCTGTTCTAGTTCTGTTCTAGTTCTGTTCTAGTTCTGTTCTAGTTCTGTACTAGTTCTGTTCTATTTCTGTTCTAGTTCTGTTCTAGTTCTGTTCTAGTTCTGTTCTAGTTCTGGTCTAGTTCTGTTCTAGTGCTGTTCCAGTTTAGTTGTAATTATTGGAATTTTAAAAAAAATACTAATTTTTAATCAATAATAATCTAGTTATAAACTTTCTAAAATCCTTGCCCTTCTCATTAAATTATTAAGTTCCACAATAAAAAAAACTTTATGTGCTCCATATCCATCGCTGTTACAGTTACTATTTTTTAGTTTGTTATAAAATATTTAGTATAATTACTTTTTGCTGTTTAGGTTAAAATAACATTAAATTATTTATAAACTTCTACCAGAGTATTTAAACTGAAATCATTAGTAGTAAAAGGTGCAAACAAACTTACTTCACATGCTCCTTCTTTTGCTCTTTTCCACACTATTTCCGGTGATGGCGTTGTCTTTTATTTTATTATTTTTTTCTCTTCAACTACTATTCATTATTTTACGAGCAATTTTAATTTAATTGAATTGACCCTCTTAAAATGTGTATGTATTTTTTCGGCGTTGTTATGTTGGTCCTGAAAATAAAACCAACAACAAATTGATATTAACAAAAATGGACTAGAGGTAAAACATAGAAATTTTATAAAGTTCAAGTTTCAATCGAGCTGAGATCTAGTTCAGTACATAAGTTTAAAAAAAATGTAAATTAGTTACTACTGGATTTCTAATTTAAACCGAAATTTGGTGTTTTTATTTTTCCACATTGCACTGGCAACGCTGGTGTGCTTCTCTTGAGTTACTCTCTTACACTCACATACATATAAAATAGCTTTAAAAGGTTTATTACTAATTGACACACCTGTATGTGTTCATCAATTCTAAGAAAACTACCAAAGGATATATGTATATATGTGTGGTCAATTTGGGTGGGTGGTCTGTTAAGTTTACTACAACCTTAACCACACATAAGATTAACAGTTACTTTTTAGTAACTACCATAAGGAAATGTGTTTTTTTGTTCAAATTTATCATCACACTAATGTGTTAGTAGATAACTATTAGCTATATTCTTTACCTTGTATTTTTTTACATTTACAAATTAGGTTAATCAAATTAATTGTGCATCCGCGCCTTTATACCAAATAAACCATTATAATTAAGAGTGGGTTCTGATGTAGTTTTTATGTTCAATTACTATATACATATTTGTTGGTTTATTTTGGGCTATCATTCTTTTGTCAACATTTGACAGACAGTCAAGGGATATATATAAATGAATGCTATTGAAAATTCAAGAAGTTTTTTTCCAGTACAGTACTAGTTCAGTTCTAGTTCTGTTCTAGTTCAGTTCTAGTTCAGTTCTAGTTCAGTTCTAGTTCAGTTCTAGTTCAGTTCTAGTTCAGTTCTAGTTCAGTTCTAGTTCAGTTCTAGTTCAGTTCTAGTTCAGTTCTAGTTCAGTTCTAGTTCAGTTCTAGTTCAGTTCTAGTTCAGTTCTAGTTCAGTTCTAGTTCAGTTCTAGTTCAGTTCTAGTTCAGTTCTAGTTCAGTTCTAGTTCAGTTGTAGTTCAGTAGTTCAGTTCTAGTTCAGTTCTAGTTCAGTTCTAGTTCAGTTCTAGTTCAGTTCTAGTTCAGTTCTAGTTCAGTTCTAGTTCAGTTCTAGTTCAGTTCTAGTTCAGTTCTAGTTCAGTTCTAGTTCAGTTCTAGTTCAGTTCTAGTTCAGTTCTAGTTCAGTTCTAGTTCAGTTCTAGTTCAGTTCTAGTTCTAGTTCAGTTCTAGTTCAGTTCTAGTTCAGTTCTAGTTCAGTTCTAGTTCAGTTCTAGTTCAGTTCTAGTTCAGTTCTAGTTCAGTTCTAGTTCAGTTCTAGTTCAGTTCTAGTTCAGTTCTAGTTCAGTTCTAGTTCAGTTCTAGTTCAGTTCTAGTTCAGTTCTAGTTCAGTTCTAGTTCAGTTCTAGTTCAGTTCTAGTTCAGTTCTAGTTCAGTTCTAGTTCAGTTCTAGTTCAGTTCTAGTTCAGTTCTAGTTCAGTTCTAGTTCAGTTCTAGTTCAGTTCTAGTTCAGTTCTAGTTCAGTTCTAGTTCAGTTCTAGTTCAGTTCTAGTTCAGTTCTAGTTCAGTTCTAGTTCAGTTCTAGTTCAGTTCTAGTTCAGTTCTAGTTCAGTTCTAGTTCAGTTCTAGTTCAGTTCTAGTTCAGTTCTAGTTCAGTTCTAGTTCAGTTCTAGTTCAGTTCTAGTTCAGTTCTAGTTCAGTTCTAGTTCAGTTCTAGTTCAGTTCTAGTTCAGTTCTAGTTCAGTCTAGTCAGTTCTAGTTCAGTTCTAGTTCAGTTCTAGTTCAGTTCTAGTTCAGTTCTAGTTCAGTTCTAGTTCAGTTCTAGTTCTGTTCTAGTTCTGTTCTACTTCACTTCTAGTTCTGTTCTAGTTCAGTTCTAGTTCGCTTCTATTTAAAGACGTATTTCAAACTTTTCGGTCTTAGATCTAATTAAGTTGTCTTAAGTTTTGAAAATTTATGTGGATATCCTTATAATTCCAACCGTAACTGTTGCTCATACAAGAGAAGAGGGTAAGCCAAATTAAAGCCTGATAGTGAAAGCAAACACACAACTACAAAAACAACAAATACTACTAAAAAAAGCTGTTTTTGTCAGTCCATGATGATGGTGATGTCACAATTTTGCTTTTTTCTTTTTTCTGTCTTTTATATTGTGTTGACTGTATGTATTCCAACTGCTCTAACCAATATTTAACTAACACTAATGACTGATGATGATGGCAATGGCGGCGGCAATGATGATGATGATGAGGATGGCGATTACAACTGTTATGACACTCCCTTTTACCTTTTAAACAGAAAAAAAAAATAACGACTAATGAAAAAAGGCATTAGTATTAAAAGCACACAAAGACACAGTTAAACACATACAAACATACACATGTATAGTTAGTTAAATAGCCAGAAAAAAAACTAGTAATTTACTATAAAAACTATGGTATTGTTTTTGCTTTGTAAGCAAGGACATTTTAAGCCTTTTTTTCTAATAAAAAAAGGAAAATATTCAATTCTTAATAATAGTTTAAGTTAAGTAATTAAGAATATTTTGTAAAACAAAAATAGCCTAAAAAAGAAACATTTGTTAAAACTGAAAATTTTTTTTCTTCTTCTTTTCCCCATTCTTCTTTTTCTGTATGGTGTGTCTTAATTTTATTCCAAAAAATCCGCTGAAACTCCTTTGATAAACTCCCTGTATTATAAAAATTTACTTTTGTAAGCAGCTCATAACTCCGATCGGCGGTTATTATATCACACACAGTGTCCTATACTTATAAATGGTACTGTTTACATAATTAGGTAATGAAACCTTTAACAAATTAAAAAAAAAATTAATTAAACAAATTGCATTACAAATCAAAAAAAATATACATATTGCTTCTTGAGCTTGAGTTTAGCTTAAAAGCTTTTTTATATATAAAAAAAAACATAAATAAATAAAGCTTTAGTTGTGCTTATATTTAAATTTTGGTTTTGCCTTCATCAACTACAAACAACAATTAAATTAAAAATAAAAACAACTTACACTTTAAACGTAAATGTATTAGAGAAAAAAAAGAGCTTTTAAGCTTGTTAAACACCTAAGCTTTTCAACTTTTATTTTTAAAACAAATATCTACTATATATATATATAATTATCTATATATAAATTATTACCAACAATTAAATGTTTTTTTCTTAAAAACAAACTACAACAACAAAAAAGCTTATTGTTTTCTTTTTTTTATTCTTTTTTGTCTCTTTTCTCATATATTTCTAGTGCCGTCATTTAGGATTTGTAACTGTGTGTTTGTTAAAAAGATCTCTTAAATTCTAACCTAAGAAAACACTGAGTTTTAGGAGCTTCACTTTTTTCCCAAAAACCAAATTATTAAAAATAAATAAAATCTCAAATTAAAATCAAAAACAAAAAAAAACTAAACTATAGCACCAAATTTAATTCATATTTTTTCTTACAAAATATTAAAAAAATAATTACAAAAAAACAACAACATTCCATTTAAACAAATTATAAAAAAACTTAAATTGTGATATTAGAATCAAAACCAACAAAGCCCAAAATCAAAAAAAAAATCAAAACTGAAAATGTGAGTTTAAAAAGAAAATTCCTTAAATTTACTTTTAAGTTCAGTTTATTCTAGTGCCAAAGCTGTTTTTTATTTAAGCTTTTCTCTTCTTGTTACCTGTATTTTTTTTTTCTCTCTTTCTCTCATTTAGTCTATATACAAATTACAAAACTGGTGTGCGTGTGTTGTTTAGATCTTATATAATCTATATTTTAATTTTAAATCACCAATTAAACAATATTTTTAAATTACAAAAAAAAATCAATTAAAATTAAAACTTGCTGCTTTCTCTATGAAGCTTTTTTAAAGCTTTTTACCTGTTATGTTTTTAATTTTTTTTTTAACTTCTTTTACATTAATTTAGATTCAATGTGAAATTTTCAAACTTATTTATTAAACCATGAAACAATAAAACCAAGAGCTTAATTTTGTTAATATTAATATATTCTTAAAATTAAGCTTTTTTAAAAAACCTAAACGCAAGCTTATAGAAATTATGCTTCATAATATTATTAGGAATACACATTGAACAATTTTAAATTTTCCATTTTATTAGACATTAATGATATAAAATAAGCCTTCTATAGCGGTTCAGTTTTGGTTCAGTTCTAGTTCAGTTCTAGTTCTGTTCTAGTTCAGTTCTAGTTCAGTTCTAGTTCAGTTCTAATTCAGTTCTAGTTCAGTTCTAGTTCAGTTCTAGATCAGTTCTAGTTCTGTTTTAGTTCTGTTCTAGTTTTGTTCTAGTTCTGTCCTAGTTCTGTTCTAGTTCTATTTTAGTTTAGTTCTAGTTTAGTTCTAGTTCTAATTCTGTTCTAGTTCTGTTCTAGTTCTGTTCTAGTGCTGTTCTAGTTCTGTTCTAATTCTGTTCTAGTTCTGTTCTAGTTCTGTTCTAGTTCTGTTCTAGTTCTGTTCTAGTTCTGTTCTAGATCTGTTCTAGTTCTGTTCTAGTTCTGTTCTAGTTCTGTTCTAGTTCTGTTCTAGTTCTGTTCTAGTTCTGTTCTAGTTCTGTTCTAGTTCTGTTCTAGTTCAGTTCTAGTTCAGTTCTAGTTCAGTTCTAGTTCAGTTCTAGTTCAGTTCTAGTTCAGTTCAGTTCTAGTTCAGTTCTAGTTCAGTTCTAGTTCAGTTCTAGTTCAGTTCTAGTTCAGTTCTAGTTCAGTTCTAGTTCAGTTCTAGTTCAGTTCTAGTTCAGTTCTAGTTCAGTTCTAGTTCAGTTCTAGTTCAGTTCTAGTTCAGTTCTAGTTCAGTTCTTGTTCAGTTCTAGTTCAGTTCTAGTTCAGTTCTAGTTCAGTTCTAGTTCAGTTCTAGTTCAGTTCTAGTTCAGTTCTAGTTCAGTTCTAGTTCAGTTCTAGTTCAGTTCTAGTTCAGTTCTAGTTCAGTTCTAGTTCAGTTCTAGTTCAGTTCTAGTTCAGTTCTAGTTCAGTTCTAGTTCAGTTCTAGTTCAGTTCTAGTTCAGTTCTAGTTTAGTTCTAGTTCAGTTCTAGTTCAGTTCTAGTTCAGTTCTAGTTCAGTTCTAGTTCAGTTCTAGTTCAGTTCTAGTTCTGTTCTAGTTCTGTTCTGGTTCAGTTCTAGTTCAGTTCAAGTTCTAGTTCTGTTCCAGTTCTGTTCTAGTTCTGTTCTAGTTCTGTTCTAGTTCTGTTCTAGTTCTGTTCTAGTTCTGTTCTAGTTCTGTTCTAGTTCTGTTCTAGTTCTGTTCTAGTTCTGTTCTAGTTCTGTTCTAGTTCTGTTCTAGTTCTGTTCTAGTTCTGTTCTAGTTCTGTTCTAGTTCTGTTCTAGTTCTGTTCTAGTTCTGTTCTAGTTCTGTTCTAGTTCAGTTCTAGTTCAGTTCTAGTTCTGTTCTAGTTCTGTTCTAGTTCTGTTCTAGTTCTGTTCTAGTTCAGTTCTAGTTCAGTTCTAGTTCAGTTCTAGTTCAGTTCTAGTTCAGTTCTAGTTCAGTTCTAGTTCAGTTCTAGTTCAGTTCTAGTTCAGTTCTAGTTCAGTTCTAGTTCAGTTCTAGTTCAGTTCTAGTTCAGTTCTAGTTCAGTTCTAGTTCAGTTCTAGTTCAGTTCTAGTTCTAGTTCAGTTCTAGTTCAGTTCTAGTTCAGTTCTGGTTCAGTTCTAGTTCTGTTCTAGTTCTGTTCTAGTTCTGTTCTAGTTCTGTTCTAGTTCTGTTCTAGTTCTGTTCTAGTTCTGTTCTAGTTCTAGTTCTGTTCTAGTTCTGTTCTAGTTCTGTTCTAGTTCTAGTTCTGTTCTAGTTCTGTTCTAGTTCTGTTCTAGTTCTGTTCTAGTTCTGTTCTAGTTCTGTTCTAGTTCTGTTCTAGTTCTGTTCTAGTTCTGTTCTAGTTCTGTTCTAGTTCTAGTTCTGTTCTAGTTCTGTTCTAGTTCTGTTCTAGTTCTGTTCTAGTTCTAGTTCTGTTCTAGTTCTGTTCTAGTTCAGTTCTAGTTCTGTTCTAGTTCTGTTCTAGTTCTGTTCTAGTTCTGTTCTAGTTCTGTTCTAGTTCTGTTCTAGTTCTGTTCTGTTCTGTTCTGTTCTGTTCTGTTCTGTTCTGTTCTGTTCTAGTTCTGTTCTAGTTCTGTTCTAGTTCTGTTCTAGTTCTGTTCTAGTTCTGTTCTAGTTCTATTTTAGTTTAGTTCTAGTTCTTGACTAGTTCTTTTCTAGTTATGTTCTAGTTCTGTTGTAGTTCTGTTCTATTTCAGTTCTAGTTCAGTTCTAGTTCAGTTCTAATTTAGTTCTAGTTCATTTCTAGTTCAGTTCTAGTTCAGTTCTAGTTCAGTTCTAGTTCAGTTCTAGTTCTGTTCTAGTTCTGTTCTAGTTCAGTTCTAGTCCTGTTCTAGTTCTGTTCTAGTTCTAGTTCTGTTCTAGTTCTGTTCTAGTTCTGTTCTAGTTCTGTTCTAGTTCTGTTCTAGTTCTCTTCTAGTTCAATTCTAGTTCTATTTTAGTTCTGTTCTGGTTTAAATCTATTTCAGTTCTAAACTAATTCTAGTTCAGTTATAGATCTACTGTATCTCAGTTCTAGACTTTTACATAAAAGCATAATTTCTATTTGTCTTGTGTAATGTCTGTCATGTATTTTTATTATTAAACTCTTTATTATTCCTTCTTATTTACTTAATTTTAAGCAAATTTGAATTTAAGTAATCGAAATAAACCAATTATTTTACCATATTTAGCTAAATTTAAGAAAGTATAACAAATAATCATAAAGACTGAAAAATTGCCATTTAGGGGGAAACTAGAGCTTAAAGCTTTAATATTCTTTTTATTTAAAGTTTAGCCCATAAGTTATAGTAACAACAAGAACAACATCAACATATTTTTATTTAATTTTATTTTAAAAACTTAAAAAAAAGATTTATATAACTAACAAACAAATATATTAAATTATATTATTAAAATACATTTAAAAAATACTATAATTTATTATATAGTATGAACAATATAAAACTAATTTTTGCTCTTTTTTCTTTCTTTTTTTCTTCTTCTTCTCTTTTTTTTTAAATATATAAATAAATTAAACAAAAATATTATTTTAAACACTCGATCAACTTTTCCAAATTGATTTTATTTTTTTTTTAATTTTTATTAAAAAAAATTGATTTGTATTTGGTGAAATGTAATTATTTTTGGTAAAATTTTTTTTATTTTGATTTATTTTTTTGAAAATTAATTGTGCTCGCATCTCGTAAATCTGTACATCTAAAAACAACTACAACAACAACAACAAAAAACTACAACTAACATCTTTTACAACAACAAATACACTTTTACATCAAAAACCCCAACAAAACTCGTCCAAAACATACAACAACAACAAACAAACAACATGTTTTATTTATTTTGTAATCTCTAGTTACTGGACACCCTCCCGGTGTGCCAAGATTTTAATAGATCTATGTGCAGTCGGTTAAATTGTAGATTCGTTCATTTAACTGAAGGTAAGTGCATGCTGCTAAATTTTTTATTTCGATTTTGATTTTTTTTTTCTATAAATTTTTATTTAGGCTTATTTCGATATTGAATTAGTGTATGGTAGTTCTATATATAATTCTAATATTTTGTATTTAGTTGGCTTTTAAATTGTTTCGTCTATTTAAATTTTTAGTTCGATTCTTACTTTAATTTATTTTTTTAGTTATTTAAAATTTTTAAAAATTTAAGTATTTTATGAAAATTTCAAGATTCTATCAAAATACTTGTCATATTTGTTGGTTTAATCTCTGCAAGTATAAAATTTAAGAACAATAAACCTTTTTGAAGAACACTTATTTAAATAAATTAAATCCAATTATTGTAACTTATTAAAAACAACAACTGAAAAACAATCAATATGTACAACCAAAGAAATGGAACCATGGATCTTTCTATCTTTACACCTAATAGCAGAAGCAACCCAATAACACTGATTGAAGATAAACTTAACATTTTTTGGGAAAAACATTCCTGTTTTATACATCTTTTATTCTGTTCAATTCTAGTTCAGTTATAGTTCAGTTCTAGTTCAGTTCTAGTTCAGTTCTAGTTCACTTCAGTTCTAGTTCAGTTCTAGTTCAGTTCTAGTTCAGTTCTAGTTCAGTTCTAGTTCAGTTCTAGTTCAGTTCTAGTTCAGTTCTAGTTCATTTCTAGTTCTAGTTCAGTAGTTCTAGTTCAGTTCTAGTTCAGTCTAGTTCAGTTCTAGTTCAGTTCTAGTTCAGTTCTAGTCAGTTCTAGTTCAGTTCTAGTTCAGTTCTAGTTCAGTTCTAGTTCAGTTCTAGTTCAGTTCTAGTTCAGTTCTAGTTCAGTTCTAGTTCAGTTCTAGTTCAGTTCTAGTTCAGTTCTAGTCAGTTCTAGTTCAGTCTAGTTCAGTTCTAGTCAGTTCTAGTCAGTTCTAGTTCAGTTCTAGTCAGTTCTAGTTCAGTAGTTCTAGTTCAGTTCTAGTTCGTTCTAGTTCAGTTCTAGTTCAGTTCTAGTTCAGTTCTAGTTCAGTTCTAGTTCAGTTCTAGTCGTTCTAGTTCAGTTCTAGTTCAGTTCTAGTTCAGTTCTAGTTCAGTTCTAGTATTCAGTTCTAGTTCAGTTCTAGTTCAGTTCTAGTCTCAGTTCTAGTTCAGTTCTAGTTCGTTCTAGTTCAGTTCTAGTTCAGTTCTAGTTCAGTTCTAGTTCAGTTCTAGTTCAGTTCTAGTTCAGTTCTAGTTCAGTTCTAGTTCAGTTCTAGTTCAGTTCTAGTTCAGTTCTAGTTCTAGTTCTAGTTCTAGTTCAGTTCTAGTTCAGTTCTAGTTCAGTTCTAGTTCAGTTCTAGTTCAGTTCTAGTTCAGTTCTAGTTCAGTTCTAGTTCAGTTCTAGTTCAGTTCTAGTTCAGTTCTAGTTCAGTTCTAGTTCAGTTCTAGTTCAGTTCTAGTTCAGTTCTAGTTCAGTTCTAGTTCAGTTCTAGTTCAGTTCTAGTTCAGTTCTAGTTCAGTTCTAGTTCAGTTCTAGTTCAGTTCTAGTTCAGTTCTAGTTCAGTTCTAGTTCAGTTCTAGTTCAGTTCTAGTTCAGTTCTAGTTCAGTTCTAGTTCAGTTCTAGTTCAGTTCTAGTTCAGTTCTAGTTCAGTTCTACTTCAGTTCTAGTTCAGTTCTAGTTCCGTTCTAGTTCAGTTCTAGTTCAGTTCTAGTTCAGTTCTAGTTCAGTTCTAGTTCAGTTCTAGTTCAGTTCTAGTTCAGTTCTAGTTCAGTTCTAGTTCAGTTCTAGTTCAGTTCTAGTTCAGTTCTAGTTCAGTTCTAGTTCAGTTCTAGTTCAGTTCTAGTTCAGTTCTAGTTCAGTTCTAGTTCAGTTCTAGTTCAGTTCTAGTTCAGTTCTAGTTCAGTTCTAGTTCAGTTCTAGTTCAGTTCTAGTTCAGTTCTAGTTCAGTTCTAGTTCAGTTCTAGTTCAGTTCTAGTTCAGTTCTAGTTCAGTTCTAGTTCAGTTCAGTTCGTTCTAGTCAGTTCTAGTTCAGTTCTAGTTCAGTTTCTAGTTCAGTTCTAGTTCAGTTCTAGTTCAGTTCTAGTTCAGTTCTAGTTCAGTTCTAGTTCAGTTCTAGTTCAGTCTAGTTCAGTTCTAGTTCAGTTTCTAGTTCAGTCTAAGTTCAGTTCTAGTTCAGTTCTAGTTCAGTTCTAGTTCAGTTCTAGTTCAGTTCTAGTTCAGTTCTAGTTCAGTTCTAGTTCAGTTTCTAGTTCAGTCCTAGTTCAGTTCTAGTTCAGTTCTAGTTCAGTTCTAGTTCAGTTCTAGTTCTAGTTCAGTTCTAGTTCAATTCTAGTTCAGTTCTAGTTCAGTTCTAGTTCAGTTCTAGTTCAGTTCTAGTTCAGTTCTAGTTCAGTTCTAGTTCAGTTCTAGTTCAGTTCTAGTTCAGTTCTAGTCAGTTCTAGTTCTAGTTCAGTTCTAGTTCAGTTCTAGTTCAGTTCTAGTTCAGTTCTAGTTCTAGTTCAGTTCTAGTTCAGTTCTAGTTCAGTTCTAGTTCAATTCTAGTTCAGTTCTAGTTCAGTTCTAGTCAGTTCTAGTTCAGTTTCTAGTTCAGTTCTAGTTCAGTTCTAGTTCAGTTCTAGTTCAGTTCTAGTTCAGTTCTAGTTCAGTTCTAGTTCAGTTCTAGTTCAGTTCTAGTTCAGTTCTAGTTTAGTTCTAATTCTGTTCTAGTTCAGTTATAGTTCAATTCTAGTTCAATTCTAGTTCAGTTTTTCCGATCTACCATGAGACAACTTTAACAAGACCTTCGACTTTTTGTAATATGATCAGGAATTAATAGGTGTTTGACGAACCTCGTCGTAGACGGCTATGCAAATAATTTTTGTGAATAAAAGTGAATAATTGCAAAAAATTATTTTAAATATAAAATTAAGTTAAATTTTAAATTTAATTTAAGCATTTATCATAATAAAGATGTATTTTATATTAAGCAGGTATCTTAGTTATATTTCTAAATAAATTCACCCTGCTTTTTTTTACAAAAATATCACATTTTAATAATAAAAATCTTAAGCAAGCTTCCCCAAAAACTTTTAATAATTTACTTGACTTCTCTATCTCTTTTTCTTAACTTTAAAATCTTAACAAAATGCAGACGATAAGGTTGAAGTATGTGATCAACGTGTGGCTGTGTGTCGTGATCATGCCAATGGTCAGTGCAGACGTAAACAATGTAAATATTATCACATACCAATTGTATTGCCGCCCGCTAATATAATGGCAGCATTAATAAATGGCAACAACAGCAACAACAACAATAATAATAACAACATTAGCAGCAACAATAATATTAATACACACAATCAGCAGCAACAACAGCAAACTACACTTCAACAGCAACAACAACATGACTATGAACAACAATTAAAACTAACAACAACATGTGGTGTTGTAATACCCTCAACAACGGCTACAATTGCAACCACAAATTATAATAATAATTTAATTATAATTGAACCACATCATCAGCAACATTTCTATACACCGGCAACGATAAGTTATGCAACAACACAACATCAACAACAGCAATCATGTTTACCCACAGCAAAAGCATTAACAACACAAACAAATTTGTTTCATCATCAACAACAACAACAACAACATGCAACGACAGCTCTCTCACATATCTATCATACCTCACAACAGCAACCACAACAATATCAACAGTTACAATATACAACTGCCAATACAACTTACAATAGTCATCATCATCAACAACAGCAACAACATCCACAAATTCACTACCAACAACAATATCAACATCATCAACAACAGCAACACCACAGTCACCACCACCATCATCATCAACATCATCCTCACCAGCATCATCACATCACCTCACCTTATTCCCCCTCAGCTGCCTCAACGTCATCGTCCGCCTCCTCATCGTTATCATGCTCGAAGGCCTGCTCTCCCACCCTCTCGACGACTACGACCCACTCAACAACATCCACAGCCACAATACCCACACCAATGGCAGCTAATTATTTGCCTTTAGCTGCAGCTGCACCTCTACAACCACCACCACCAGCTACAGCAACAACAACACCAACTCCCAATTATCTTAAGGCCCCACCACATCCAACGCCTAATGCCGCCGCTACGGCCATGACAATAGCCATAGCAACTCAAGCACCGCCTCTGGTCTTGGGTACAACACTCTCCAACAGCAATTACAATACGAATTGCATTCCAATTTTAACACAACCAACCGATGTTACAACATTGACCGGTGCTGCTGCAGCACTAACACAACATCCAGGACATCCAACACATGCCTTCATTTATCCGGCTACAGCACAGCCTCAACATTAAGGACTAAATGGCTATGTATGTGTTTCAGGGAGTTTTATTACTTAAAGTAAGTTCTCTCAATTTTGTTAAAAAGTTTTTAAGAAAAAATGAAATTATCGATGAGGAAAAGAAAACTACTAAGTATAGGAAATTTTTCTCTTTCTCTCTCTCTTTAATATATAAGAGAAAACTAGACAGCACTGTTATTAAGCCGTTATAAACTGTTATTATCCCCTGAGTTACTGAGCAGCAGTAATAAGTTTCCAAACTAATTTTTTAAAGAACTCAGTTTAAGAGCAGCATTTCCTATAGAAAATTTCTGGGTTTAAGAGCAACGTTTTCGAAAGAAAATTGCTCAGTATTTGAGCAACTCAGATTCTCAGCAACTTTTTCTATAGAAAATTGCTTGGTTTCTGACCAACTTTTCCTTTAGAAAATTGCTTATCTTCTGAGCAATATTTTCTACTCAGTATCTGAGCAACTTTAGAAAATTGCTCAGTTTCTCAGCAACTTTTCCTGCAGAAAAGTTGCTGAGAAAACTGTTTTTAGAGAAAAGTTTTTGTATAGAAATTTTCAGTAATATTTTCTATAGAAAGTTGCTTGGTTTCTCAGCAACATTTCCTAAATAAAAGTGTTCCGTTTTTTTACAGATTTTCCTATAGAAAATTGCTTAGTTTCTGAGCAACTTTTTCTATAGAAACTTTTTTATATGAAAATGCTCAGTTTATGATAGATTTTCCTTTAGAACATTTTTCAGTTTCTGACAGTAAGATTGCTTAGTTTCTGGGCAACTTTACCTATAAAAAAACTTTTTCAGTTACCGAGCCACTTTTCGGTAGTTTCTCAGCAACTTTTTCTATAGTAAACTACTTAGTTTCTGATCAACTTCTCCTATAGCAAATTAATCAGTTTCTGTGCAACTTTATTTTATAGATAATTGCTCAATTTTTGAGCAACTTTGTTGTTGAAATTTCCTATAGAAAATTGCTTAGTTTTTAAGCAACTTTTCCTAGAGAATATCACTCTTTTTCTGAGCAACTTTTTCAATAGAAATTTGTTCTGTTTCTGAGCAACTTTTCCTATGGAAAACTACACAGCTTCTGAGCAACAGTAAATACTGAGTTTCTAAGCAACTATTTCCATGGAATCATGAGCAACTTTTCCTATAGGATATTGCTCTGTTATTGAGCAACTTTTCCTATAATAAGCTAGTCGGTTTTACCGTTGGACAATCGCTCTGTTGCTGAGCAAAATTTTCTATAAACAACCGCTCAGTTTTTGGGCAACTTTTCCTCTGTTTCTGAGAAACTTTTCCATAGAAATTTGTTCTGGTTCTAGGCAACTTTTCTTATAGAAATCTGATCATATTCTGAGCAACTTTTGCTACAGTAAATACTGAGTTTCTAAACAACTATTTTGATGGAATCATGAACAGTTTCTGAGCAATTTTTCCTATAGAATATTGCTATGTTATAGAGCAACTTTTCATATAATAAACTAAACAACTATTTGCATGGAATCATAGACAGTTTCTGGGTAACTTTTCCTATAGAATATTGTTCTTTTCCTGAGCAACTTTTCCTATAGATTATTGCTCTCTTTCTCAGCAACTTTTCCTATAGATAATTGCTCTCTTTCTGAGCAACTTTTTCTAAAGTAATCTGCTCAGTTTTTGATCAGCTCTTCCTTTAGATAATTGTTCAGTATTTGAGCAACTTTTCCTGTGTTTCTGAGCAACTTTTCCTATCGAAATTTGTTCTGTTACTGAGCAACTTTTCTTATAGAAAACTACTCTGTTTCTGAGCAACTTTTGGTACAGTAAACAATTCAGTTTCTAAACAACTATTTTTATGGAATCATAGACAGCTTCTGATTAACTTTTCCTTAAGTAATGTACTCAGTATTTAGGAACAACATTTCCTTTTTACAATTTGTTCAGTTTTTGAGCAATTTTGCATCTCTTTCTGAGCAACTTTTCCTTTCGAAATGTGTTCAGTTTCTGAGCAACTTTTGATACAGTAAAATATTCAGTTTCTAAACAACTATTTTCATGAAATCATGGACAGTTTCAGAGCCACTTTTCCTCTAAAATATTGCTCTCTTTCTAAGCAACATTTTCTATAGAATATTGCTCTCTTTCTGAGCAACTTTTCCTATAGAATATTGCTCTCTTTCTCAGCAACTTTTCCTAAAGTAATCTACTGAATATTTAGGAGCAACTTTTCCTATAGACTACTGTTCAGTTTTTGAGCAACTTTTCCTGTACTGCTGAGCAACTTTTCCTATCGGAATTTGATCATTTACTGAGCAACTTTTCCTATAGAAAACTGCTCAGTTTCTGAGTAACTTTTGTTTCCTGAAACCATAGACAGTTTGTATGGAGAACTGCAAAACAGTGCTGTCAAGTTTAAAGAGTTTGTTTTTTTTTAACTCCCTTGAAAAGCGCAGATCTATAGCCTTATATATCTTAAAGAAGGCATTTGTTTTTAACACTCTGCAACAAATTCTAAAACAACAAAACTAAACTTTATTTAAGTTTTCTTTTGTATAAAAAAACAAATACTTAATATACATTAAAACTTAAATGATAAAAAAACCAATGTTCATAATTATAAAAATCATTAAATGTTTAAACCAAAAAAAAAAAACAAAAATAATTCATTTTATACATTAGAAATCACAAACAAAACATTATTAGAATTTAACTAAGAAATCAATCACCTAAGAATATGCGTTTTTTGTTTTAGAAATTATTTAATAATTTAACTAACAAAAACAATTTTAAACACCTACAAAAATACACTGAAAGAAAAACAAAAAAAACGTACTTATTAGTATTAATATATAAAAAACACACTGAAACAAATAGTTACACTTAAAGAAAACACTTAACAAACACACACTACAATAATGATAAAAATTTAATATGTATAATTAAAGAAAAAAAAAACATTTTTACATTAAAATTTTACTCTAATAAATAAAATAAAAAATTATACAAAAATTTTCTTTAAATGTTTTAAAATACATTTAAGGAAAATTTAAAATTAATCAAAAAAACAAAATTATTATTAAAAAAAACAAAAATACACCAAAAAGTAACACTTTTTTGAATAAATATTACAACAACAACAAAAATAATTTTCAAAATTTATGAAATTTAAAGAAAAACACAAACAATTTTATAGAAATTTCTAGAAAATCTAAAACAAAACAAGAAAAAAAAACAGTGCTGTTGAACAATTAAATGTTTATAAACCAAAAAAAAAAATAAATAAATGGAAAATTATAATTGAAAAAAAAAAAAAAAAAAAAAACTTTAAAGCCAAGTAGAGTTTTTAAACAAAAAAAAATATATAGATTTAAAACAGCAATTAATTGTTTATGAAAAAAAAATCCCTTTCAAGTTTTAAAAACGAGAGTTAAAATTTTTTTTTTTAAATTTAAAAAAATTTTGAAATTTAACTTATTTCTACTAACTCTCGTTTAAACTTCTGAAAAATATAAATAATAAACATAAATGTTGACAAATCTCTCTGTTCTACATTTCCATTAACAATAATTAAAGAAAATTAAAGGTTGATGAATTATTTACAAAACAAAAAAAAATTATTAAATTAGAGTAGTTAAAAAAAAAACAAATAAATTACTAAAGATTTTTTTTCTCCAAACTTTAGCAAAGACTTAAATATTAAAACAACAAGTTAAAATTGAAAAAAACTTAGATTAAATATAAAAATATTAACAAAAAAAATAAATACAACACTAGTGTTCCATATTACTGATTCAAACTAAAAATAAAAACAACTAAAACAACAACATATACTTAAAATAAAAATATTAGAAAAAAGTTTAATTTTTATGAATTTTTCATTTTTTTATTTAATAAATTTTTGTTAACAAAAAAAACAAAAACAATAGATTAAAACAACTCTACATGGTTTAAAATTAAAAAAAAAATATTTAAAATTATTTTAAAAAATAAAATTTTTTCTTAAATTTCAAATTTTCCAAATTTTAAGCAATTTTTTAAAGCAAATAATTAAGCTTTCCGGTAGAAAAGTTGTCTGTTTCTGTTTTCCTATAGAACACTCGTTCATTTCTGAGCAACTTAATCAGTTTCCGAGCAACTCTATTATAAAGATAATTGCTCAATTTTCTAGCAACTTTTCCTACATAATCTCTTATCAATTTCTGTTCCTATTTGTTGAAATTTCCTAGAGAAAATTGCTTAATTTCTGAGCAACTTTTCCTATAGAATATTGCTCTGTTAATGAGCAACTTTTCCTATAATAAACTACTAAATTTTTGAGCAACTTTTCCTTTAGAAAGTTCGCTCTGTAGCTGAACAAATTTTTCTATAATAAACTACTCAGTTTTTCGGGCAACTTTTCCTCTGTTTCTGAGCAACTTGTTCTATTACTGAGCAACTTTTCCTATAGAAATCTAATCATATTCTAAGCAACTTTTGATACAGTAAAGCAACTCAGTTTCTAAATAACTATTTTCATGGAATCATGGACACATACTTAGCAACTTTTCCTATAGAATATTGCTATGTTACTGAGAAACTTTTCCTATACCAAACTAATTAGTTTTTGAGCAACTTTTCCTTTAGAAAATCGCTCTGTTGCTGAGTAAATTTTTCTATAATAAACCTCTAAGTTTTCATCAACTTTTCCTCTGTTTCTGAGCAACTTTTCTCATAGAAATTTGTTCTGTTACTGAGCAACTTTTTCTATAAAAAACTACTCACTTTCTGAGCAACTTTTGTTACAGTAAACAACTTAATTTCTAATAAACTATTTTCATGGAATCATGGACAGTGGAGCAACTTTTGTCAGTTTTGAAGCAAATTTTGATATAATAGAGATATAAGCAACTTTTCCTAAAGACAAAATGTCAGTTTACAAGTAGCCAGTTCTTAAGCAACTTTTCCACAGATGTGATGACAGTTTCTTAGCAACTTTTCCTATAGAAAAGTTGCCAGTTTCTTAGTTACTTTTTCGATAAAAAGTTTGTCCGTTTCGAAGCAAATTTTCTTAAAAACAAGCAACTTTTCCTAAAGACTGGATGTCAGCTTCTAATCAACTTTTTCCATAATAAAGTTATCAGTTTCTAAGCAACTTTTCCTAAAGACAAGTTGTCAGTTTCTAAGCAACTTTTTCTATAAACAAGTTATCAGTTTCTAAACAACTTTTCCATTAGACGAGTTATAAGTTTCTAAGCAACTTTTCCTGTAATAAAGTTCATCCGTTTATAAGCAACTTTTCATATAAGAAAGTTGCCACTTTCTAAACAACTTTTCCTATAGACAAGTTGCCAGTTTCCAAGCCACTTTTTCTATAAAGAAGTTTTCAGTTTCTACGCAAATTTTCCTATAAAGAAGTTGTCTGTTTATAAGCAACTTTTTCTATAGACAAGTTGTTAATTTCCAAGCAACTTTTCCTATAAAAAGGTTATTCTAAGCAATTTTTCGCACAGCCAAGTGAAATTTTCTAAGAAACATTTCCTATGGACAAGTTGCCAGTTTGTAAGCAATTTTTTCTATAGACATGATGTCAGTTTCTAAGCAACTTTTCCTTCAACATTTCTAAGCAACTTTTCCTATAGTTAAGCAACTTTTTTTTTAAATTATCAGTTTTTAAGCAACTTTTCATAAGGATAAGTGTTGTCAGTTTCGAAGCAACTTTTACTATACAATTTTCCTATAGACTAGATGTCAGTTCCTAAGCAACTTTTCCTATAAAAAAAGTTGCCATTTCCTAGACAACTGTTTCTACATAAAAGTTGTCAGTTTCAAAGCAACTTTTTCTATATAAAAGTTGTCACTTTCTAAGCATCTTTTTCTATTAAAAAGTTGTCAGTTTCCAAGCAGCTTTTTTTATGGAAAAGTTGTCAAAATCTAAGTAACTTTTGCTATAGAAAATTGCTTTGTATTCAAGCAACTTTTCCTTTAGAAAATTTAGCAATATCTAAACAATTTTTTCAATGGAGAAGTGAACAGTTTGTAAGCAACTTTTCTTTAAGGAAATTTATCACTTTCTAAGCAACTTTTTCTATTAAAAATTTGTCAGTTTCTAAGCAACTTTTGCTATAGAAAATTGCTTAGTATTCGAGCAACTTCTCCTTTAGAAAATTTACCAATAACTAAACAACTCTTTCAATGAAGAATTGAACAGTTTGTAAGCAACTTTTCTTTAAGGAAATTGATCTTTTTCTAAGCAACTATTTTCTTGTATAGAAAATTGCTTCCGTTTATGAGCAACTTTTCGGTTTATTGTGAGTTTGTAAGAAATTTTTGCTACAGAAAATTGCTTTGTATTCGAGCAACTTTTCTTTAAGGAAATTTATTACTTTCTAAGCAACTTTTTTTTTGGTATAAAAATTGCTTCCATTTACGAGCAACTTTTGTAAAAGTTTTTTTTTTTCTAAAAAAAATGTAGAGTTGTAACTACTTTATTAAAAATAATAGAAAAAATAAACAACAAAAAGGGGAAAAACAATAAATATTTATAGTAAATATAAAAAAAAAAACAAAACTAATCAAAATATTGAAAAAAAAATTATAAAGAAGAAGAAGAAAAAAAATTATACAAAAATATAAATAAATAAAAAAAAACAAAAAGTAAAGTCACGTCCTATTTTTGCAACAACGATTTATAACCAAAAAAAACAACAAGAAAAAAATATTTTAAAATAAAACAACAACAAAACAGCAGATAAATTATTGAAAAAACAACAACAACAAAATACTCAAAAAAATCTTTTTTAACAACACAAACAAGAAAAAAAAACTTTCAACTTTTTTTACAAAACAAAATTCAAAGAAAAATATTAACTACACTGAGAGAAAAAAAATAAATAAATAAAAATATTTTTTATAAAAATTCATAAAAAAATACAAAAAAAATTAAAAAAATTTATAAAAAAATTAAATAAAAATCAAACAATATTTTACATATTTAATAAAAATAAATAAAAAAAATTACTAAAATTAAAAATACTTAAACAAAAATAAATACAAAAAAAACAACTTCCTAATTTATTTAAAAGAAAAACAAACTTTAAGAAAACAAAAAATAAATAAAACCAACATTTTAACAGACAAAAAGTTACTAATAATTTTTAAATTTAAATGTTTATTTATAAAAAAAATTTATGTTTTACTTGTTTTTTTTTTATTAAGAAAACTTAAACGAAAAAAATAAATATTTTATATTTAATTCATAATAATAAAATTATACATACATACATTACAAAAAACAACAACAACAAAAATAAACACTTATTGGTTTATTATAAAAAAAATAAACTTTAAAAACAAAACAAATATTTATAAATTTAAGTTTATGAAAAAAATAAAAAACAATTTAAATAAATTATATACTAAATGAGGAAAAAAAAAAGAATTGAAATGTGATCTTTTTTAATACATACATACATATAAATAAATTAATAAAATAAAAATAATAAATACAAAATAGCAACAAAAACAACAAATTATTAAAATTTCCTTCTTTAATTGTTTTATAATTTCTTAAAAATATTCTGTTTAGTTTAAAAAAACTTTGGCATAAATTGTATTTTCTTTTTAAGGACTGGTTATAATTAACGGAAATTATATAAAATTATTTACAAAAAAAAAAAAAAAAAAACTAAAATAAACTAAATTTTAAATAAAACTTGTTCCAGCTACAAAAAATTAGTAAATATTTGATTACAGCAACAAAATTTACTAATTTTTCGTACTTACAAATACAAATATAACACAAATAATCTTATCAACTTTACTCTCAGAGAAACTCCCGCTCAGCATACTTTCCTATGGAAAATTTCTTAGTTTCTAAGCAACTTTTCTTAAAGAAGATTGCTCAGTTTGTAAGCAACTTTTCTTAAAACAGATTATTCAGTTTATGGGAAACATAGAAAATGGTACAGTTTTTAAGCAATTTTTCCTACAGGAAATGACCCAGTTTATGAGCAACTTTTCCTATAGAAAGTTGCTCAGCTTCTAAG